CCGGTGCTTCTGGATATGCCAGGTGTACCAGCCGACGTAAGTCTGCTTCGAATTCCTGCAGACTCTCCGGACCTCTGCAGGCGTGTCTTGATCTGGGCCTGGTAAAGTTGGCGTCGATGTTGGTCGCCATATCTTCTGTCCAGTGCAGCGACCAAAGTTTGGTATTCCTGCTGTTGGGCTGCAGGAATAGTTTGCAACAGTTCCAGAGCAGGGCCACGCAGCGCGATGACAAGTGCCGCTGCTTTCTCCTGGTCGGTCCATCCGTTGGCAGCGGCGGCTGCTTCAAACTGACGGTGGTACATTGTCCATGTCGTTTGTCCATCGTAGGTCGGGCCTTAAGGTTCGCTGTCCTTGAACGCCAGGTGTCTTTACTTGTACCTTGGTCTTCTGTAGGTCCATCTCCAACCTTTCTATCTTCTGCTGAAGGCGCTCCTCCAGATCTTCTACGGCTTCTTGAAGTGGTTCTGCTGTTCCTGGCAACATGCTTCCAACATTGCTTGTTGCTGTTCCCCAAGCTTTTCTGAAGCCGAATTTCTTGATTTTCTAAAGTTTTCTTAAGACGGTCCTGATCTTCTTGTCTTTCTTTCTGGCGGCGCGTTTCTATATCTTCTAAAATTTCCCTCCATTCATTCTTCTGACGAATTTCTAAATTGCTTAAAATTTTCTCAAGCCGGTCCTGTTCTTCTTCTTTGTCTTGTTGTCGTTGAATTTTCAAATCTTGGAAAATTTTTTCAAGCCGGTCCTGTTCTTCTTGACGTCGTAGTTTTTCCTCTTCCTTTTCTCTTTCTAATCGGGCTCGCTCTTCCTCTCGTTCTTTACGGAGTCTTTCTTGTTCTTCTGCCTTCTCTCTTCTCATATTCTCCATAAAATCGCCCAATAACTTGCTTACTTCCTCCATTTTCTTCGCTTGTTCTCTTGTACCAACCATAAAAATACTCTAATTGGGTCTAAAAATCTTCCAATCCACTTAATTTCTTCTTAAAATCCTCTTGAATCGCACTTCCGACACCAATTGTTACGGATTCCGTGGGTCCACTATTTAAACTCACGATAAAATACTTAACGAATTTATTTTCTCACTTTATACACAATTACTAACTTATAACACACAACAACTAACTATTCCTTCACCAAATTGTCCGATTTTCAATTTCCACGCGATATATTCAAATTTCAAAAACTGTCTCAGTTGTCGATGGCTCCGGCTTATATACTCTATTGACTGTTTCTCGAAATTTCCCCAATTCTCGGAAAGCGTACTTCTTCATACCAGACAATTCTATTGTCTGATTCCCTTACTTCTCGACTTGACTAAAAGATGGCGCCTGAAAAAGTCTTTTAATTTCTGGCGGATACGTTGCGGTTGTGCAGGCAACCAGTAATACATTTTTAATTTCTGGCGGATAGGCCATTTTTCTTGACAATATTTTAAGATTTTTAAAAAATGTATACACGATGGTTATATTAATCACGATCCTGCTTAAAGCGCTTGACGTAAAAAGCTGATTTTTGGAAAACAGATTGACTTTAGGGTGTAGAGGTTCGATAAGAAGGAATTTTTCGAAATTCCAGTTCCAAGAGGGTGAAACCACCCCTCAAATATTACAATATTTTTTATTTAAAAACGGTCAAGTTTCCGAAAAAACGCTTAAGCACGTATATTTTATTTTGTATATTTACATATTTTAAGATTTTTAAAAAATGTATACACGATGGTTATATTAATCACGATCCTGCTTAAAGCGCTTGACGTAAAAAGCTGATTTTTGGAAAATGGATTGACTTTAGGGTGTAGAGGTTCGGTAAGAAGGGATTTTTCGAAACTCGAATTCTAAGGGGGTGAAACTATCCCTCAAATATTAAAATATTTTTTATTTAAAAACCGGTGAGTTTTTGCGGAAAAACTTTTAAACACGTATATTTTATTTTATTGTTTTACATATTTTAAGATTTTTTATAAATTTATACAGGGTGTTTCATAAAATATGACCACTGAGTAATCACGATTCTGCTTAAACTGCTTGTTTAAAGCTGATTTTTGGCTAACGGATTGACTGTGGGGTATAGAGGTTGGAGAAGGAGGGATTTCTCGAATCTCAAATTCCAAGAAGGTGAAAACGCCCCTCAAATATTACAATATTTGTTATTTAAAAAACGGTTAGTCTTTCGGGAAAACGCTTGGACAAGCATAATTTATTTGTTTTTTACATATTTTGAATTTTTTTAAAAAATCATACAGGTGTTCGAAAAAGTTGGGTAATTTCTTACCACGATTCTGCTTAAACTGCTTGACGGAAAAAGCTTATTTTTGGCAAACGGATTTTTCGAAAGTCAAATTCCAACGAGATGAAACTACCCCTCAAGTATTACAAAATTATATAATAATATCGCCATATTGTTTTTTCTCATGCTGACATAAATGTGAGAAAATTTTATCCAGTTTGTATGTTAATGGAAATTCTTGCTTTGCTTTATCATCACCATTACAAATGATTAATTCGACGCGAACGAAGTCGCTGGTACACGCTAGTATAATATATATTTCCTTCGGCTAGACACCCGTCTAACCCTGAGAGTGACCCGAACAGTACAGCTTAATAGACTCTTAAGGTATCATGAAATAGTTTCATTCCAAAAAAATAGTAAAAAAAGTTATCGAATATACAATAAAATACATATAAACTTAATAATATCAGCATAATGATGCTTACATGAAAACAGAAAACACAGAAAGTGGACAAACAAAAAAAGTCTAAAGACCGCACTGTTTTTTGAGAAAAAACATTGCTTAACAACCTCTACCGATTAGAAAACGTTCCATTTAATACAAAAAGAAAAAAATCAAAGTTAATGGATTAAAAAAACCTGAACAACCAAGGATACGTCACAGATCAAGCCATTAAGGGTCATCTTATTAAAAGGTTGCCCGTCAATCCTAAAAACCTTTCCATATATTTTATTTATTTCCGTTTTTTCTTCGCTCTTCAACGTTTCTTACCGATCCGAAAGTCGACTTTCTCTCCCGGCTTTTATTTGCTCTGCAGATTGATTGGCAAATATTTGTTGTCGATAAAAATCGCTCGTCAAGACGGAAAAGCTCGATTTCGCCCAGTTATGTTCGAAAAAGGGATAAAAAGGCGAGGACGAAAAAAGAAGAGGAATTGGAACCCGGTTTGGGAAGTGTAGAAAGCGAAAAACATCAGGTAAAAGGATGTAATTTAATAATATGGAAATCTCCTCGATGTTAAGGGCGTTTTTGAAGAATTGTATTTTTTTAAGTGAGATATATTTATCTATTTCAATAATAGCAAAATATATGATGTTGTACAGCCAAATTTCAGGGGCTATCAAGTAGAATGTAGGATGTTTAGGAGGTGAGTTAATCACCGCGACCAGATCTATCCTGTTTCCCTTTCTTGAGGTATAACTCATCATACAGTCTCAAAGCTTCAACAAAAGCCACTATCTGAGACAGCTCTACAGAGGCCATCTCTCCATCCTTGACATCACCATTACCAAAGTTCATAGCACGAACGGTTGTCGTCTCCGCGCACTCAGTGATAAGGTGTTCTGGTGTTTCCCCATTTTCCCTACACAATCTGCATTCGCCGTTGTTTCTCAGCTTCAGCCTACTGAGGTGTTCGCTAAGGAGACAGTGTCCTGTTAAAAACAGGAAAACTATCTTTGATTTTTCCGGGTCGTAAGTTCTGAGGAACTTTTTCGAGTGTCGTAGACCGTTATAAGACACCCATTCCAGGTTCTTCAGTTCCGCTTTCAGTTGGTTCCCGCTTGGAAAAAAGAACGGTTCTGGTCTAGTTAATAGAGTGTTCGCTACTTTTCTAGCTAGATCATTTGCTATTTCATTGCCTTGTATGCCTTGGTGAGCAGGCACCCAGAATAGGAGGACTTTATTTTCTTTGCCTATTTTGTTGAGCTTCTCTATGCATTCGTTAACCAATTTCGAATTGATGGTTACTGAGTTGATCGCGTTTAGTGCTGCTTGACTAACAGATAAGATGGATATTTCCGATTTTCGATAGTGCTGTCTAAGATAAATTGTACGCATCTTTCGATAGCATAGATTTCTGCCTGAAATATGCTATGTCCATTGATTCGGAGTATTTAGTTTTCAACCCAAATACTCCTATCCCTGTCCCTGCTTTGGTTTTGGAAGCATCAGTATACCACGTTATTGTATGGTCTTTTACATGCTAAGCAAACGTTTCTTCCTTCCAATCCCTTTTATTCCTCAATACTACAGTGAGGTGTTTCTCAAAGTTATACATTCTTGGTACATCATATACTGGGAGTTGGAGAAGTGGGATTTCCTTTTTGAGGGTGTTCCAAGCCCCTGACCTGAAATGTTTTTCCCAGTATTGTTTCGTCAATGACCATTCTAAGCATTGTTGTACTGGCATAACTACCTACGGCAATGTGCAGTGGTGTTAGCTCTAGGATGATCCTCATTACTGCTGTTGGCTATCAAGTAAGTATCAATTATTTTATTAACTTTTTAAGCAGTGGTCAATCATAACAAAATAAATTATGTTAAACATTTACTTTATGTGTGTTTCTAACAGGACTATCTGTCTCCTCAACGAACACCTCAATAGATTGATCTAAGAAACAAGAGCGAATGCAGATTCTGTAGGGAAAATGGGGAAACACCTTATCACTGAGTGCGCCGTGACAACAACCGTTCATTTCATAAATTTGGTACAGCTGATGTCCGAGATTCCTCTGTAGAGTCGTCTCAGATACTGGCTTTTGTCAAAGCGCTGAGACTGTATGATGAGTTATAACTCGTTATACCTCAAAATAGGGGAATACACAATAGATCTGTAAGGTCGGGGTGATTAACCATCCCCCTTTCAAAACATTCTACATTCTAGTGCTATTTAATGATAATATATTAGACTTCCATATACAACAAAAGTACCACACGATAAAAACTTATACAACAAAAATAAAAACTTTAATTTAAAATATGTTATTACTTACCCCATACTACGCCTATGAAAAGGCTAAGAAACCAAGGAATTAACATGACGATATGTCAGGATATGTTGAATTTTGTCTTCCTTCAAGGACCTGAAAACAAAAAAAGCAATTAAGAAAAAATTAAAAAACTCTTACAACGAAAAAATATATTTAAAAAGGTTTATTCTGATATTTTGTACTTCAGATATATCTAGACTAGCTTCTCTAGCACTAAAAGTAAGGGATAATATTACTACATAAATAATTTCTTAGGATGACGTCCATCCATGCAGCTTTATTTAAATTGTTATTTTCTCTTCTATGCATGCAAACAAGTTAGAATCATATTACAAAAGGTTTCCAACAAAAATCCCTTTCAGCAGGGATCCTGGGCAAAATAAATTGCCCCATAAACATGGAAATGCAGAGGAGGATGAAGACAGGACAGCAAAATAAATAATTCTATTAATTTGGAATTTAAAACGACTTAAAATTTCAACTTTATTTTGTTACATATTCATTCAAAGTATAGTATAAATTGGAAATAGATACTTATAGGGCTTTCTTTTCTTCCGAAGTGATTTATATTATTTTTATTAACAAAAATAACTGGTGGGTAGATCTTACTCCTCCTTTCTACTAGTCAAGGAGGCAATGGAATTTTTTGTACTTATTTTCTCAGCGGTTGAATATATAATAGTTTGTTCGGATGGTTACATTAAATGTTCTATAATAGGAAAGGAAATCAATTTTGTGTGGCAGAACTGGTAATGTGTTTGGTAGGCAGTGAACAAGAGTGGCAGAATGCAGTGGGACTTATGAAACATTTCTGAACGTGAGACATAGTGTCTAAGAACGCCACTGTAATGAAGTAATGCTAGTGAAGTTGGGTTTTTTAGTCGGTAAGAATCCGACACTATCCGGTAAAATATTTATTTGCGGAATGTCTTAAGTAAAATTTTAATAAAGAAAATAATCTGATTTAATCTACCACAGATCTATTACACGACGTGAATATTATTTACCACTCTATAGACTGCGAACTGGATCAAAAACGAAACGGAAAAAATTGATGCGAAGTGCCATAAGCCGCGTAAATCCCCCGCTACAATTAAGGAGCGTCGTCGTTTCTGAAGCCCGCGAAAATTAATTTTCATGGAAAATGACGCGGGAAAAAGCCAATAAGCGAGACAATAAAGCTGGGAAAGGAAGGGTTGGCGTGTTGCTCGTGTTTTTATAAGGCCGTAAAACGGTCCTAGCCTTGTTTTTGTCGTTGTTTGAAACTGGTACAGGATTTTAGAAGATGATCTGTATAATTGGATGTTAGAATATATTTTTTATTTATCTGCTTAACGAATATTTGAAGATTGATGTAATTTTATATTGTCTTTCGTTTAGTCAACATGTTTATTTTTTATCAATGATGACGTGTCTTGATAATTTCCATTCGAAATATTTTGGGGACGGTTACTCGTAGTGATTTTACTAAGTGACATTTTTTTGGTTGTACTCCAACGGTCTAAGACATTCGAAAAAGTTCCACGGAACCGAGAAAAATCAAAGGTTTTCCTTGATTTAAGTAAAAACAATCTTCGGATTGTCCACGGGGTTTCTAACAGAACACTGTCTCCTCGATGAACACCTCGGTAGACTGAAGCTGAGAAACAACGGCGAATGCAGATTCTGTGGGGAAAATGGAGAAATACCAGAACACCTTATCATTGAGTGCGCCGAGACGACGACCATTCGTGCCATGAACTTTGGTAGAGCTGATTTCGAGGAGAGAGCTGGCCTCTGTGGAGCCGTCTCAGATACTGGCTTTTGTTAAAGCTCTGTGACTGTATGATGAGTTATAACTCGTTATAACTCAAAAAAGGAGGACGCACAATAGATCTGTAAGGTCGCGGTGATTAACTCTCCTCCTAAAAATTCTACATTCTACAAGGAACATTTTTTACGTAAAAAATGGTGGAAATATATGTTTTTTTCACTCAGTAGTAGTTTTATACAGACGAAAAGTTATTACTCTTCAAAAGAATTAAAAAAAAAACAAGTAGGAGCTATATTGACACACGTTTAAATCAAATTTCTTATGTCAAAAAACATCCAGACACACACTGTATCTTAGAAACGAAGTATTTTAGGATATAAATTTATAACGAGTTAAAAAAACTAAGCTTCTTCGAATACAATTCGGGCCCACCGTATAAATCCACTGACGTGAAAAACTAATCGAATTAGTAAGTATACAAGTGAGTAATACAAGTAAACTAAGATTTAATTTAATCCTTGTATCTATTTTTAGTATGGTCATATAGTAATTCTGTATCCTTTGTAAGTCTTCTAATATGCTGTATTAATAACTTTCTATATAACCTTAAAGAGTTAGAATTTATTCTGAAAATAAATTTTTATTTTTGTGGTACATTTAAAAAATATCTAATATGTTTGGTTTGGTTGCCCCCCGAGGGCCCGGGCCGTATTTCCATTTTTCTATCATATGCTATCGCGAATCAAGCAGAATCGGGCGATCCCGAACTAAGTTCTTATATATCACATGTCTTCTTAACTATTTAACTAGCACACGCTATCGCGAAAATAACTTATTACTTTACACTTGTTCTTGTGCAATTTTGTAGCTGTGTTTTCCTTTTTATTTTGCAAAATAAAAATAACTGGAAATATTTGATTTTTCATTAGAGCATTAAATTTGACAAAAAGGAAATTTGCTGTATCACTGGATTTCTGCACCATCGAATAGAAATAATAGAACTAAGCTAGTTGTAAAAAAAAGAGCATGAAAAATTATACTGGCCAAACTAGTTAACTCAAAATCACAAAAACTCTAGTTACCTAATGGTTGTATTAAGCCATTAAGGGGACGATAAGGCAACTGAGTTACGAGAGGTGCCCGAAACTGCCACTTTTTTTAAATCACCCTGTAGCTCAGTAACTAAGGGGGCCATGACAAATCCTCTATTAGGACATCTCTCATTTTGTCAAAAAGTAGCCGACTATTGTGAAAACCTATTCATAATGGCAACAAAACACATTAAAATGGGATACCCTGTAGGTACAAGGTATTTGTATTGGTATATTATCGCACACTGCATTTAAATTCAATTTGTTCTTGCTTCAAATAATATCGCGACTATATGTGCTTGTTATGACGGCAATTCCCAATACTTCTTTCTTTTCGTTTATGTACCTATTTACATTATTTATTTTAATTTAGTTAGTTTTGTTGTTGTTTTTTCTTTTGTTTTATTTATTTGATATTTTATATGTTTTGGGTTACATATTCTGTGTTGCAGTAATAAATAATACTATATAAAAATTAATTTGATAATGTTATTTCTAACCTATATAAGTATTGAAATATGTACGTGTAATAGGGGGCCCGGTAAAATTTTTGCACACAGGCCTGTGAGTCTGTGGTTACGCCACTGGAGGCGACAAACGCTATATGCAATCTACTTCCATTTAAATCCCGAATAACTTATGAAAAGGAATACAAAAATTTTAAAAAATGGAAGCAATTAAAAAACGTGCGAGAAGAAATAAATTTTTTAAGATGTACTCGCTGTTAAAGTATCATTTAATCTACCTTTGCGGTTAAAGTACTATTTTATCTACTATTTTTGATAGATATAATTAGACAATTTTAACAATTGCTATGGAAAAATAAATAAACACAACCTTCTTAAGGCTAAATAAAGAAGAGTAAGAACCGGGTAAAGACGTCTGGGGCTTAACGTCACGAAAATTACCATCAATTGTCCTTCCCCAGCCGTCTTTGACGCCGTTTTTTTTTCGGTTGTACGATATTTCCAATGTTTAAATATTTTCTTCTTGTTTACACTTGACTACCAGTATCGATAGAATTAATTAAAGCGATAACAAACAGAAAAAAAAGAAAAATTTCTTTGCGTTTGTTGCAGACATTGTTCTACTCCGACCCAGCGCTGAACCCGTCAATACAATAAATCGCATCTGACAATAGACCCGTTTAAATCATCGCTTACGGCCTCTATTTTCTTCGTTCTAAATTTTCCTTTTTTTCCTGCGTCCGGAACACTTGTATCGGGTATTAAATGATTGAAGTCTGTTACTGTCAGACTGTTTTCGCCGGCTAAGTGAGCCGCAACCGCAAGAAGAAAACAAATTGAAATTGCTTCAAGTTTCTGATGGAAAAACGACGTGGAAAAATACGGAAGAGAACTTAAACTGAATTGTGTTTTAGCGCCGAAGCGCGTTAGGAACTAATCGAGTTAAAGGGTGGAGTTAAAAATTAAATTCTTCCCGCTTGTAGAGCAAGAGTTTCCTTTTATTAGGGTTCATCATAATAAAATACTCCTATTCTCGCCTAGAGGTGGGAATTCTAGTTCCTTGGGAGAAACTAGTTCCTTAGTTCTAGTTCCTCCAGAGGAATAGTTCCTTGAACTAGGTCTTTAGTTCACAATAGTTCTAGACTATCATTGACATCCCCCTTGCTTGCTAATGCGTTTCGTTGTCAGTCAGAACTATTTACAGTATGATCTGTATAATTTTTATAGTGTACGGAGATATAACGAGACGTGTAATTGTGTATGTTAAAAACATATAGGTAAGTTTTATTGCAGATAGAAAAAATAAAAAACTCAAATAATAATTTAAAAAACTATATCATAAATCAATTGGAGCAAATATTACAAAAATTTTACGAAAAATTGCATTTTTCCCCTCTTCAAGCTTTTTGTTTTTGTCTAAAAATTCAGAATATCTACTTCGTTTTCTAAGATATTTCTTAATTTTAGGGACCTAAATCGAAACATTCCCATAAAATATTTCAAAAACAAACTAAAAATCAAAAGCAGTATCCACGACAATTCTCTGTGGTAATTACGCCGCGCCGGCTGTGGCAATAGACAAGGCCGAATCCATCGTCGTCGCCTTGTATTATATCTCGGATCTGCCGACTAAATAGATTCCCGTGAACCAGTCTTTTAATAGTTCCTCTATGTCCGGATCCGATAACATATGGCTGGCACTCCCCACGCATGCCTAGCATCAATCGCTCTGGCTGATCCATACGTAAACTAGTCTTTTATTTAGTTCCTCCAGTTCCTTTA